TAAAACTAAATTGATATTGAATTAGACGATGCTATTGGTCAAACACCATATTCACTTCCCATTGTTTGTCTCAACGCATCATTGTCAAAAAACTAAGTAGAATGAGAATTCTACTATGTGTAGAGTAGGATAATCGGCCGAGTTTTCCACTGTATATTTCCACACTCATTAACAATCTTGTTTCGCCAAAAGCTGTTCATTGATGTGTAGTGAGAATGCTAGTTTTCTTGGCTATATTGATTTAGAGTTCTGTAGATAAGAGATGATTACTTGTACTTCAGGTACTTGTGTTTATCGATATACGGCTGGTGATTTCTTTCACACAACGATTAATTATGCCATGAGAGTATCGGAAACAACTGACAGTCATCCAATTCAGTTTTTGTCCGAGAGAGGTAGAACTTATGGTCGTACATTAGGACCTTTTTGTTCCTTATTATATGAATATTTATTGACTAGTTCATCTCAAGTAAATAATATTGCTGTCTATCGAAATGCAAAATTATCGGAGCAAGAACTTACTAAATATAAAAAAATATTGATGGTGATTGGTTTCAATGGGATTATTTTGCAAGCACAACAAAAAACAAGAGGAGAGCAATATCATTTGGTGAAAATACATTATTTGAAATTCTTATTCCTGCTCGACCACGAAATCCATGTGTTGATATGTCATCACTATCACGATTTTTAAGCGAAGAAGAAATTTTATTACAAGCTGGAATGAATTTCAAAATTCGTAAAGTTGAATATGATCAAACAATTAAAAAAAAAATGTTATAAATTTAGAAATTAGATGAAATTAAATTCAATATTGCTTGCTTTCATATCGATTCTTAATCGAACATTTTTCACTTGATTTTTATATGAAACTATCTATTTTGAAATAAATACTCTTGCATTTCATCGATGAAATAAGACGATCAATGCAAGGTAGACAGTAATTGTCTGTTATCATTTTGTGAATTTTCTTCAAGATTTTTTTTCATCCTATCAAGTTAATAAATTTCTTTCTTTTTGAAATAATTTTATTGAACTTTTTCTAATAACTGTACTGCTGTAGAGTATTCACACAATGATTTCAATTGATTAGCTGTTTTTTGAAATTTCAAATTCCATATTAAAGGACAGATACATGATACAGACTAGGAATAGTTTTTTAAAGAATTGCGATTATATTTGTTAGAACACGTAACTGTTTCTATGATGTTTTTTTGTATTTGGATGAATATTCTAACAATTATTTTGTCTTTTTTGCGGTTTTTTATTTGTATTTTCTCATGATCACCAGGAATATTAGGACTTTCATCTTCTAAAAAACTAAAATGAACTTCATCATGGGTTCTTGTAGAAATCCAAAAATGAAGAACTGGCCTAGATATTCTTATACTCTTTTATCTAACAACTTTCTATATGTTTTGAATTTCCGGCAAGTACCATTTCAAATAATCATATTCATTTCATAAATAATAGAACCTAACACGTATCTAAAAATGTACTGGGAATAAATACATTTGAACAAAAACATTCCGTAGAAATAGATATTCTGAAATCAATGACTTTGTTTCGTGTGATACCGGCAAAGGAACATAAGGAAGCAAATGTTTTATCCAAGATTTTTTTCTTCAATGAGAGCAGTGAGGAACAAACACAAGTTTCCAGGATATTGATGTGAGTGTCAGTCTTCTCTTCATACTCAAATCTAGCTCATCTCATCAGTTCCATTACTATTTGCATGATTTTTCTATGTTTATGCTGACATACAAAAGATCCAAACACATATCAATTTTTGTTAATTTGTTTTTATTTGAGTAACATTATGAAATTCAAGTGAAGAAAAACAATAATTTTGAAATTGTTCAATAAGAACAGTCAGACATATAAAATTTTAATTAGAATATTTACAATAAAAATTTTCTTGAATGGATCTCCAGACTTATGAGAGTGAACTTCTTCGAATGAAAATTACTTTCATTCTTCCGAAAAAAAGCTCTACACAAGTTTAGCCATAAATTCTTTCATTCAAATTAAGTCGAGTTTAAAAAAGTACGTAACATACGACGTTAGCTAGCACTATCTGTCCTACGTGAATAGCTATATACTGTCGTTTTTTTCGGATGACACATGCATTTTTATATGTCTGTATTTTCTGGATTTTAAATGTTCTAATCACAGTTTCTGTTTGAGCATTTTCGCACCCGCGAGTTCTGTTGTTGTCTGAATAGATGTAAAAACGCTCAATTGGCAATTGCTCGTTGTAATAAAAGATTCATACTTGTGTTTTAAAAATTCCTTTTTCGTTTTTTATGCTTCTATTGCAGATATTCTACGTGAACCAATCAAAGTTTACTGCTGAAAACAAATAACTAAAATTAAAATATATAAAAAATTGTTTATTGGAAATTTATCATTCACGTCATCATTTCAAGTAGCTTTATCATTCATAACTTGAGCTGGAAATCATAATAAAAAATGTGTACAAGAAATTATAAAATGAAAAAAAAATACAAGCGTTATGATCAGTAAGTTTTCAATGCAAATCGAAGAAAACATAAAAGATTTATCTGACCGATTAATTATTCAAAATGATATGTTGCATCGAAGCTGCATATATTTATGGTCAGATATAGATTTGAACAAAAGCTATAATTTTCTGTCGGCATCTTGGACATGACTGTAGTGATTTACTACATGGAACACAGGTTACTAAATGACCACATGGTACACAAGCCATTCGTTTCTCTTCGGTTAAACAGAGGATACAAGGATTAGATGGTGTTGAGCGTTCTGATTGATCTTCATTGTTCGTAGTACTAGTTAGTTGATTTTCGGTGATTATTGATTTTAATGTTGAATTATGAGATGATTGTAATTGTATTTTCATTTCAACATTCGTATTATTTGATTCATTCATAACTCTTGATCGAAGAGTATTACTTGAAATCGATGTTGTAGTCTCTTCTCGTTGTCTAACCATTTCTATAAATCGAAAAACAAAAAAGACATTATCAAAGAAAGTTATTGGCAGAAGTAAAACAAACCTATTTGCTCTTTAATTTGTTGCATTCTTACACTTAGTATAACAATGTTTTCTTTTCTACCACCAATATGTTCGATTTGTTTTTGAAGAATTAAACAAGCAATATACAAATCATACTCAGATACAAAATCAGCATCTAAGAAAAATGTTCCAAAACACAAAAAAGATTATTTTATTTATTCACTTACGTTTTAGTCGCAATTGATCCTCCCAACATCGTTTTATGATAGATAATTTGAAATTTTGATCTAATAAACGTTGTGACACTGGCAAATCTAATCGAGCAGCAACAAGTTTTGATAAAGTACTTTCATCAGGTATCAAAATATGCTGACTATTTGTAGTTAGAGTAGTATTTAACATATCACTATAATCTGTTCTTTCTCTGAATTCATTAACTCTAGCATGTTCTAGAAAAGAAAAATAAATTAAGTTTTACCCACATATTATTAAAATATACCTTGGTGTACTTGTTTAGCTTCTTGAATTTTACGATATAAATCCTCACCACATAATTGTCGAGCATATGCACAATGTGGAAACCAACGTACATGTTCAATCAATGGATTATCATTTGGACCCCAATTTTGTAATGATCCATTACAATGAAAACACTTAACAATGTTTGTTGTACCGGTATAGAAAAATCCTGCTCGAACTAAATCATCCACTGATGGTAAATCGTGATTTGACCATGTAGCAAATGATGCATCACGTTTTGATGCATCTGAATAAGCAGAGTTGCACGAAGCTGCAAATATAATAGAACTAAGTTTTAATGAGTCAAGATTATTCGATGACGATGAACAATTGTTTGAAGTTACTTCCATTGAATTTTCATTGATAACAAGTACAGATGAAGCTACCGGCCTCATCAATTTCGCTGTCACATATATACAATTAGGTGAAAGTATTTTATGTACTTCACATGGATCATCTCTATATGGTGTCCATTGTTGACAAATAAGATTACAATAGATACATATTACTCGATCACCAACATTGCAATTAAAAAATCCAGCTTCAATCATTTGTGCACTTGATGGAATGGTACGATGTGGCCAATGAGAAAAGGTACGTCTTCGCACTTGTTGAAGTAAATCTATTTCGAGTAAAACCTTTGACAGAGATTCTAAATCCATCGATTCGATCTTTTGGCGCTTAGAAGGACTTTCTTGTTCATTTGATTTCGGTGTGTTTTGAACATCAGTTGCTGACGTAGAGGAAGACACAGGCGTATTTGATAGTGAAGATTGTATTATAGAGCACACGAATAGACAATCAGGTTGACGTTTCGAGTGAATAGTAAATGGATTCATATCTAATGTCCAGTTGGATACTTCAAGTCCACAGTCCTTACAACGAGCTGTATCTCCATTTTCTGTATATTCGAATCCGGCGGCAGACATATAACAAGTACTGTGAACACCTGGTGTATTTATTGATTTAGCTAGTGACTGAATTCGATTACGAATATTAGCAAGGATTTTCGAACCTTCTTCCTTTTTATCGACATATTTCGATGAAGTTTCCATTACTTTGTATTTATGAGACGGACCACTTTGGATAACAATAACAAAGCTGACTAGAATTAATATGTTGCTTTAGCTATTGAATAGAATCTAAAGAAGATATAATATATAAATGAACTTTTTTTTTTTTATGATTGAAAGTTTCAAGAAGATCTTAATTATTCAAGCGATCCCATTAAGTATTCTTTGAAGCGTAACATAGAAAATAGAATCTAGCTATTAAAATTTGATTCCTTTTTAATTATACCTCTTCTCATGATTGTATACATATAGTTAAGAGTTCGCACTTCTCCGTAGACGAATTTGCTCCTCTTAGCATTTATAACTTCTTCATGAATAGTTCATAGACAGTGAAATAAATATCCTGCATCGAATGTACTTATATTATTGTTGTATGAAACTTCATATTGCCATAGGTCTAAGCATTGTTGACTATTGATTGTGAAAAATCTCAAAAATGTGTGCTATTTATATAAGAACCTGCTGCTTTTACCTGGCTTCAGTATGCCTTCAATCACCGAAAAAAAACCCATGAAATATGTTGGAAAAAGCCAACGTAATATAACGTCTTGTTACGTGGGGGAATTTTCCAAGCATACGCAACAGAAAGAAAAAGAAAAATGAGTCGTTTCGTTGTGTGTGTATGAAGAAGAAAGGATTGTTGAAGAAGAGAACAAATAAAAAAAAAAGATGTGCGGAGTCATGTAATAGATGTACGCAATACAGCACAAAAAAAACCAGGTAGTAAATGCTTCAGATGAACTTTAAAAAGGTGAAAATCATTGAGACAGCGTAATGAATTCTTAAATTCAAGAAATGACAAACATGTTGGCTATTTGAAGTGAATCAAAGTCAAGGGGGAAAAAGCGAGACTCCAATAGTGCGTACTCCAACTGTACTCCAGCTGTACTCCAGCTGTACTCCAACTGTACTCCAGCTGTACTCCAACTATACTCCAGCTGTACTCCAACTGTACTCCAGCTGTACTCCAACTGTACTCCAACTGTACTCCAACTGTACTCCACCTGTACTCCACTCGTACTCCACCTGTACTCCATCTGTACTCCATCTGCACTCTATCTCTGCTTTTCTGTTACAAACTCTACTGTGGTTCTTGCTTGACAGTATTCAATTAATAGCTTACATTCAGCGGAAGTAACACGAAAGATCTGCAGTTAAGAGAACTGAATATTGTTCTGAGGTTATATTACTGTCTTCAAAACAGTTTAGTGATACTATGTCTAATTGACGTGTACTAGGAAATATCAACTTGAGTCTATTGAATAAAACTCACTTGGAAATAAAGTACGGTTATTACAGGATGCTTTTTGCTCTGTTAACTTCGAAAGACAAGTAAATAATTCAGTTGTCGTTTGTCGCAAATATGGATGGCACTTTAGCATTAAAATTTGCCTGTTAAAGTGGTTCAACTTTAAATTGCGCCTTAAAACTTTGAAAGTTAAGGTTAAAGTTTAAAATAGTACTAAGCTTTAAACATTAACGTTTGAAACATAACTTTAACCTTTAAGAGTTAAAGTTTAAGCCTGCATACTTTAAGCCTTTACTTTAAAAAATTTCACATTGAAGCGAATATTTTCCTATAAAACAAATTTTTCTTAAGAATTCATAAAAGTGGATAAACCTTTATAAAAGTATCCATAACTTTACATGCGCCGTGTAACGGGGGTCATTCATATGTAATCATCTACTATATAACGCAGATATCCTGGCCTCATCAAGCAGTATATAAATGAGATCCTGTACAACAGTGCATGCAGTATATTACACCGTTGCATTGCATGTATGTCAACGTTGGCTGCACACCGGTAGTACTCATCTGCCTTCATGAAGTATATAGCTTGGTTGCAAATCTTTCAGAGATATGATAAAGAAGTACGAATAACGGTGCGTGGACACCATGAGGAAGTGTGGGGAACTCATCAGCACCTATTAAACAGTCGGAAAATTCGGCCCCGCAATGTCATCGCGTAGTAGGATCGCTTCTCATAGTCTTGCCTGGATATCTCGGAGTGGTGACTTTATGCTGCTAATACCTTCAAGAAGGCATAGCATGGCACTGCGAGACCTATTACTTGATTTTTCCCAGCTCAAACGTGGCTTTAATCAATCTGGAAGCTGGAATTCTTCACCATTATACAAAATTGTTATTCGCAGTGTTGTTTTATACAGTATCTTCATGACTAGCCAGACTAATCTGCAACCATTTAGCCTTGGGCTCCTTAATTGTGTCATAACATTTGACTTTAGTAACTGTTAGCAGTCATTTACTATTATTATGTGATTGGATATTAAAATAATATGATCTGGTAACAGTGACTCTTTTCTTAACCTTCTCCATTTATCTAGAAACCTTCTGAATTTCTTGTACAATCGAAAATTACAAGCAAGGATCTTCTCAAGTTTTCGAAAGGATTCTGCATTAACTCCTGACAATTCGTGTTACTACTTAGGAATATTTCAGTTAGACAGATTCATAATAGAATTTATTCAGGTTCCTGCTCTGACTTTTTCTAGCTCTTCAGATAGGGCGATTTTAGGATTGAGTACTGATACTTCAGAGAACCTATTAGAAGAAAAGGAACGTCGACTTTCTCAAGATTTTGTCAGTTTTTCGTCAGATATAGGTTGGGATCTTCATATAAGGATTCATTCTACTTTTTACATAAGCCAGCAACGACAATTACCATAAACGTTTTCGTCAAAACAAAAGCTTTTGGGTATAAGTGCATGGGCTCTTTTGAATACTGAAACAACACCTAAACCTAGACATATCCTGATAGAATCATGGTTCCAACCTTATTAGGATGTTAGAATTTTGTGGCAATACCTTTTCAAAGACATTCGTGTGATCGTGGCAAGATACTAGGAGAAATTTAATAGCAATCTTGTCACAACCTCAGAGTATTGTGGAGCGCATTACGTCAGAATTATCAGGTCCGTAGGTACAACCTTCTTTATGACTCAATGAGTTCATCATGAAAAAATGTATGAATCTCTAGAGGATCTTTGACTTATACGAAAAATGTTCAAAGGGAAATATGTATTCGAAGAAAAATTTTTAGAAACATTATATACATATGAAAGCGATTGTTTAATGTTTTAGGGAATTCTTAATAGCAAAGAACATAGTTTATAGGATGAACCAGTGTTAACGCTATGACAGAGAAGATTAAATATAACCGATCAATAAGATCGATAATATGTCATTTTTCCGTTCCTCAACTATAGGTAACAAAACATCTAGCTGCCCTATAACATTTATAACATTATCATAGTATCATTTGCCAAGATTATCTATACGATGTTCAATGGCAATGATTTTCCCTTGTTTTAGTCTTTCTCATAAATTTTCACAAAACAAAATACCCATTAGCTATACATTTTCAATACTCAGTAGTGAAGTTTATTTTATTCATTATAAAAGAAAATATTCATCTTCTCTTCGTAAATATTTAAGTTTCTATGAACTGTTCAATGAAATAGCTATATATTGTGGGAGAGTTATACGTGTTGAAGACGTAGCAACTTTAGTCGTAACGATAGAATTTTAGTTATATGATGGTTCTTCGTCCAACTCTTTTAAGTCATTTATATCAATTAATTCTCATCACTATTACTATTGGATAGAAGTCTAGATTAGAAGCAATAAAAAAGCAACAATAAACTATAAGTAATTAGAATCGTCCTTGTCCAGAAGACATAATAATTTTCGGTATTTTTTGACTTCATTATTTACTTTTCGACATGTTCCCATTAGACTGCATACTTAGTGGTTCCCTAACGGATTCAGAATAGTCACACTCAAGATTGTTACTAGATATGCAGACTAAGAAAAAATCGATGTATAAATATTTTTGTTATCTGGACAGACAGAGACACGCTATTTAAACAAACACAAACACAAACGCACAAAGCATGGACCACGTCTACGTAAGATACAGAAATTATTTGAAAGATACTATTCTAATGTATAAAATAAATAATATAATACGAATAAACTAACAAAAATTGTAAAACAGAACCCGATGAAGAGACGATGTAGCGTGATCTCAATTGGATTAAAAGATTATCGTGATTTTGATAAACTGTAAATGAACAGAACGAGTATTCAACGACCACAATAGGTCCTGTACGTGATAATTACACGCGAACATCAAAGAGCTGCCTTTCGCTCACTACTTTCTCTCTGAAAGCTCTGAAGAAATATGAACAATAATGTCTGTGTTCCATAGGATTTATGTAAACTACCTCTAAACAGTTCGTGATGAACTACAAAAGCTCACTTTAGTAGTTTCTAGACAGAAATGAGTACCCGCATTAGGTAGTATATGACCATTTATGAGCTTCTCTACAATAAGCGTCACGAATGTTAATGAATACACACTTTCTGTAACCATTGAAAGATTATCGATATCCCAATTATATAGTAGCTGATAACCGATAAGTACCGAGTTATATAGTAGTACTTGAAGTATTGAAACCTCTTCCTCTTATATCGCAGTTGGTGGCTTATGGATAGCACCACTATTGTATAGTGAATGACCTATGAATACGTTTTTTACATAGTACCACCTATGGATGGCCTCGTCACACGACTCATGGAGAATTATGGGTACTTTCATGAATGTTTATCGAGTTTTATAAATGTTTAAGAAAAGTTTAATTTCATAGGAAAACGTGTACTTTAACTTTAAAAGGTTTAAAGTTAGTGTAAAGAATGGTCACTTTAATTATAAAAGCTAAAGCTTAAAGTGCGCTACTTTAACTATAAAGAAAATTTAAAGTACCATTCCTACTGCACTACAGTCTAATTGTACGCAAGCTATACTACAGCTGTAGTCTGGATAGATTCCAGCTATACTCAAGCTATAATCCAACTGTACTCCACTTGTACTCCACCTGTACTCCAACTTTACTCCACCTGTACTCCACTGTACTCCACCTGTACTCCACTGTACTCCAACTTTACTCCAACTGTACTCCAGCTGTACTCCAACTGTACTCCAGCTGTAC